GGTACATTATGATTTAATAGTAACTACCTACTATAGTCACTCACATATAAAAGTAATGTTTTACAGAAGAGTGAGGTTATGTTTCAATATTTCACCTCCAGAGTCGGTCATCGTGCACGCCACATATTGTAACGGCGTTATGCGCAAGCGCTTCAACATAAAGTGAATGAAAAATAGGACATGTTCTATTTTTCATCCAACTTTGTATTCAGACTCTGTTTTTGTAATACACGGTGCAGTTAATTCTAATTTTTTTTATCGCTTGGAGCGCACGAAAGGGAATCCCTATAATGTTCAAAGAACATCGTGCATTCCTAGGGAGGATAGAGACAGGAGGTAGGTATTGGAGTTTTTTTTGAACTTTTGGAGATTATAATATGTTGTTGGGAATACTTCCACAGGCAATGAATTCCAGAGCCTAGCCGTTCTATGGATGAAGGAGTCTTGATAAAGTGCTGTTCGACATCTTTCGAGGTCGACAACGAAAGGATGTGCTGACTGGGCTTGTCTAGTTCGTCTGATTGGTACTGCTAGTGAAGGGATGATAGCAGAAATTTCCGAAGAACATTTCCCGTGGAAGTATCGATAGAAAAGTGAAAGGTCGCCGACCTTCCTACGGTGGTCCAATAATGTCAAAGAGTGAGTGAGTGTGGCGTCATCCACCAGGCGAATGGCCTTTCTCTGGATGGAAGAGCATCAGCGTATGTTTTGGTGCTGAATCCCATATGTGGGAACAGTATTCTAGAACAGGCCGTATCTGCGCTTTGTAGATCATGAGAAGCTGCGTTGAGGTGTAAAGTAGCTTCTCGCACGGAAAAAGAATCCGAGTTTTTGTGAAGCAGCTTTTTCGATGGATCTGACATGATTATCCCATGAAAGAGTGTTGCTGATGGAAATACCGAGCATAGATATGGTAGGCTTGGTGGGGATGGTGGAGCCAGACATTACAATATCGGACATACTGAGTTCCGCCTTTCTAGAGAAAATGCAGGCTTGAGTTTTGGTGGCGTTGAATTCAACTAGGTTGTTGGTTCCCCAGGCTGTGATTTCAGCAAGATCTTCATTGACAGCATTGACCTGCCTGCGCCGTGAGTTCTTAGTTTCCTGGGAAGAAATGGGAATTCTCTGGAACAGAACGAAGTATGGAGGGTTCTATCATCTGCAAAGCTGTGGATGGGGCAAGTTGTTACTCCCAACAGATCATTGATATAAAGAAGGAATAATGTTGGTGCCAAAATAGATCCTTGTGGAACGCCGGAATTGATGCCCATGGTATCAGACGATACACCGTCCACCACCACGTGAAGCGATCTGCCGTTCAGTGTTGCCAGAGCTGGTACTTTTGTATAGATTCAGTACAATTCATACCCTTTAGTACATAAGTACATTTCACCCAATTCTTGTTCAATTTCATGTTTTGGCCAATACATTCAGCTCAAGTTTATCAGTTTTTCAACCAACCAACATACCAACCAGCTGGCTGACCATAATGAGAGACATCATCATCATCAACTTCAACTGTCACTACTGTCAGTGTACACTTGTACAGTACTGTTTCCTGACGGTTTTTCAAACATTTGATGTATGTACAGCACAGTCATCTTTTATTATGGATTATATGCTGCATAATTATATTGTGTATCTCTCCAATGGGAAATGTTTTTTGGCTACGTACTTGATGTGACATTTTCATTCCATTGACTTTTTTCACGCTTTTTTATATAATATGATGAAGTCATTTCTGACAATGAGAAATAAAAATTATCGTTTGTCAGTTTTCTCATCGATTTTTTCAATATTCCATGTCTGGTAAATTCAACTCGATTTTAGTACAATTCAATAGTGATTTCAGTACAATTAGCTTTTTTCTTCTGGCAACACTGCTGCCGATACTCATTCTCATTCAGGATGAAAAACTGGGCCGTGTCATATACGGACTCCAAACTTGGTGGTGGTACTGTTTTCTTATTTTTTTTTTTTGACTCGCCCTCCTAAATTTTCCAAGGATTGCTCCTTCCTCTTACTTGTTCCTTCGATGATCCGTATATGTACCAAATATGTACGCGCAGAATGCCTCATCGTCTATAGGACGAAGAAGGAAGGGTTCGAGGGGGTGGCCGTGGCCGATTGCCGAGCATTGTGGCCCGTGGGAAATGCACAGTAGCGGCCGCGATAGTCGGTCCGCCCCCCACCCCTTGTCTCTTGCGGGCCAGTGGCTCGCTCGCACGGCCTACTATCAAGAGACGATGCGCCGTGCTATTGGACGTACGAGGTTTTTGATCGAAGGGAAAATTATTGTTACATGCTCGGTGCACACAGGTATAGCGATGGACGATTCCAAATATCCGTAAGTGACATTCGTCGTAGGATTCCCTTTCGTGTGCTCCAAGCGATAAAAAGAAATACATATATTTTCCAAACAAAATGTCACTGACCAGGGATTGAATTTTTCTCTCAAGTGCTCACTTCCCGGACACTTTTTCTTTAAGAAAGTAGCATTTTTCCAGCCTAGACCGGGAAGTATCACATCGTTGTTGTCACTGTAACAATGAAAATCTTGGTAGATATGGTTTTGATAAATGCAGATGATAATTACCATAGGTCGCGTGCACGATGACCGACCCTGGAGGCAAAATATTGAAACACAACCTCATTCTTCTGTGAATTATTGAAACACAACCTCACTTTTTCATTTGTTTACAGAGGAATCAAAAGGTTGAAATAGTTTTTCACAATATTTTGGCATACGAATCGTGTTAATTGCGTTATTCTTTAATTCAAGCATGCCTTCGCATTGTGCTGTTGTACAATGCACAAAAAATGCAGCGGAAGATGAAGGAATCCGGATGGTACATTATGATTTAAAAGTAAGTACCTACTATAGTCACTCACATATAGTTTTCATTTTTGAAATTTGGTAATTTCTCTGATTTCCCATCGGAATTCCTTCTGCGATAGGAGCTAATAGAAATACACCTGAAATATCTAAAATAATGCAAGAAGATTGGATTCATGCAATCAATCGGGAGGAAACAGGCTCTATATAATAGATATTTTCATGGACGATGCTCTTCTGAAATATCAACAATTGTATACCTCCCTTGGCAGTCCCCGCGAGATTAACCCGTCGAGTTGAGGCTTCGCACCTCTTCGTGGTCACTTTGGAGACCTGCAGAAAACCTCTTTCCAAAGACTCGTTTATCCAACGATCAGCGAGGCTTTGGATCACATTGCCAAGGGAGGTGTGCCCCGAGGCATATAACCTCCAAAAATTTAAGAATAAACATGAACATCACAGCATATGCATTTTCGTGGGAACCAGAACATAAAAAAAATTGCCATAAATACATATGTATATTTGTTGTCAAAGCTTGTACATATACATATTTAAATGAAATATAAAAAACAATATGCGATTCAAAATGTGGAGCTTTCTGAAATACATTCGAAAATATACAATCAAAAGCTCGTATAAAGCCTTAGTTGAAAATAAAAAATAAAAAACAACAAAGATAATAAAACATAAAATATTATAATAAAACTATCACATGTGAGAGCTCCTATATATAGAGCCATATAGTGAAATATTATAGAGTATCATTATGTTGTATAAAACGGTCCTTTTAAGAACTAATCAAGAAAGAAAGGATAGCATAATTTCAGAGTCTCTGTGAAAAATATTCCTCGTGGTTGTATAGTGGAGTCTGAACGAGCAATATTTTCACCTTAGTCCGGAATTTTTTGTTACACGGAATTTCTTTGATATGATTTGGCGAATGATTGAATATCTTTATTCCATTATAAATAATGGAGTCTTCAATCATAGTGTTACGGGGTCTTATCAATTTAACTTGTCCGTTTTGTCTTGTGTTGTAATGTGATGAAACAAGCTCTAAAGAAGCTATGTTCTTTTGTATCAGAGCCGTTGTTTCCAAGATGTATAAGCCAACTACTGTCAGGATGTTAGGTAGATCAATATTTTGGACTCGCAGACTTCCAGGACTCGCCTACGGTATTCCAAAGAACTTATAATCAAAAGCAGAATGAAGAGTTACATAGGGTTACATGTAATATATGTGGAAGCCTTGATTGTGGAAGTGAAAAAAACCGGCAATGTATAAAAAATTGATATAACATAAAAAGCACTTTTCCCCCTTTTTGAATTGAATCTACACATTTTGAATCCAACAAAATTACTATTAAAAGTTTTGTTTTGTTTTATTTGTGGCATAATATGATTCAATATGGACAACCGATTTGAAGTGGTCATGTACTCTGTTATTCCAGATGAAACACCCTGTATTGCATTACATTTTCAAATACTAAGTATAATCCTGAAACAATTCGTGAAATATTTGCTCCATCGGTAATTATTTTCAACGGTTTTCGATTTATCGCGGTTTTTGTGAAAAACATTTCAAGCAATATACCTACTTATCATCTCAAAAATACATATTATAACTCTAACATTCTTGCACAAGTTGCATGACCACATTATCTGCAGTTTGCTGTCCCCTACTGGAAGTTTTTGGATCGATCCTTCGCCATTTCTTTAAAAATATTCTATAAATTGGCGAGATCGCTATAAACCCTTCACATTTCTCGAAACGTGAAAACGAGACATGGACTGCCATCTGTGCGTTAGTATCTCAAACTATGAAATGAACTCACGCCTCTACAGCTGTCTACTGCTGGAAAATAATGGTGTAAAAATATACCTCATTCCTGTACTACTAGGTGGCCCAACTAGTAGAATATTCGCTTACGATTTTTTCAGAAGTATCCAACTTCTCTGAACAGAGACTAATGAACACTTGTTTTTTTTCATGGAATTTTGTCCAAAACAAAACCTAGCACACCAAACTCATGAACTATTTGGACATGAGAATTACCCTTGATTATATACACTAGTGTGAATACTCAGAGGAATTACAATGTCGGTTTCTAATTTGTAAAATTTTAATCTATCATTTTATTTATAATACTCGATACATGATTTTTTATATGCAATTGTCAGCATCACTACTCATAGGTGACATATTCAAGCTCATTTGCCTCGTCCTATACTCTGTAGGAGTCAATATTCCTCTCAAGATCGTGTCAAAGGACACGTTTATTCCATTTTTCGTGATTTTGCTATATAAGTTCCAGCATTGCTTCTCTTTGGAAGATTCAAAATCTTCTATTTCCCTCGCCTCTGTGCCATTCGATTCTTCTGGTCCCGAATTGCTTCTAGTAATGTTAGGTTCCTTGGTGTTTGCTATTTCTTCGATAGGATTGGGACTGGCTTTGATAGTCTCAATACCCTGCACCATATCGTTACTAAAATAAATGAAATTTTTCCTTTTAATATAACGAAAAGAGCAATATTTTTTTTGCAACCAAAAAGGTCCTTATTTATAATATTTTTTCTGTGACGGGAAAAAAGTTTGGCATTTCATCTCTGTTGGCAGGTTATAAAATGTCACTTTTCATAAATTACTTTTTTCCCGTGAGAACTTTTTTCTTGGATATATATCACATATATATATACACTGTTGATGGCTTTTGTTTTGGTATAGTTCCGAAAAATGAGTCAATAATACCGTCTCCGAGAAAGAACTGCAAGTCCGTTTATCTTCCATTCGACTTCGCGGTTACGTATATTACTAAACAACCACTAAATTCTCCATTTTTTGAAATCAAATCACAGAATTGGACTGACAGAAGTGACATCAGATATTTGATTACTTCAAAAGAATGATAAAGATGCCTACAACGCAGGTGTCTCTACTGTTAAAAACTTGAAATTTCACGTCGATAATTTTCAGATTTCAAAATAATGTAATATCTTCTCAATATTGATTCGTCCTTTCTTCTGTCACAGAAGAAAATATTGTATTATACACGGGAAAAATAGTAGATTTTAGCTCACGGTTTTTTGTCTCCCTCCGCTACGGGTCGGGAGACAACACAACCTGGAGCTAAAATCTACAACTTTTTTCCCTTGTATAATAAATAACTATTGATGGTATCAAAGTATTGATAAATGAATTAATGAATGAATAAAAATTCAATGTATTAGTTGAACAACCGATCGTGCATGACTTCTGGATCCCTGCTCGGGTGCCAAAAGCATGAAATTCTTTATACAGGGTGAGTCATAACTATTAGGACATAGGCTACGAGCAGATTGGTTAGACCAAAATATAGCAATAGAACCAAATATACCTTTGAAAAATATTACTGTGGAAAAAGATACAGAGCGTTAAAGTTGATTTTGTTTTATTCGTTTTTTGTTATCAAGATGTAGAATGCTTCGTTTGATGATCGATTGATTTTTTATATTTTCGATTGAACGAAAGGGAATCCCTATTATATCCGTGGAAAATCTAGGTAAGTAGGTATTTCACTTTTTCTTGAACTTCTGGAGATTTTGAGTTCTTGTAGATATATTCGTGAGCGAAAAGCGAATACTTCCAAAGATTTGCCGTTCTATGGATGTACGAGTTATGGTAGAGAACTGGTCGATGAATATATCAACCAGTTCATCTGGAGAGCATTGTTTTTCTATTCGTCCAATGCGTGATCATGGTTTGACCAACATTTACCTTGGAGTTTTTGTTTCGTCCATGGACATTTTTCCCTGTATATTGGTGGAATTCAGCCTTTTTCTCTCTAGCGATCCATTTCTTTCTTGCGAGGAAGAACGCATCTTATGCCTTAACATGCGGTTATTTCCCAGCACTGCTCTTCTAGCTGGAAAACTGGCGGAAAAGCTTCTTACTGAGTGTATACTAGACTGTTGAAACGACACTGTAACAACATCAAGTTATTGAGAAATGTCTGTAATTTTAAAAAACTTCACAAACGTTTCACCAAACTTCATTGTACCAGTATGTAATCATGGAATATCGATAAACTAATTTATTATGTTCAGCCCTCTGTATGTAGAGTGAATTGTTTCGTTCTTTTTCACTTCGTGAATAACTAGCATATATTATGAACTATTTCTGTTTGCTTTGAGTCTGGTATCAATTCTCGAAATACAAAAACAAGTTCAATAAATTAATAATTGGACTTTTCATGTTTTAATAACAAATGAGAATGTGTATCCATGAAAATGGCCAGCCTATAAAGTTCAATAATTCAAAAATGGTTACGAATATGAATATTAATGTTGATATAAAAGATGTTCATGTTTTGATTTCACACCAAATGGCTTAAAAATATATGAGGTGTTCCATTTGAAAAACTCGAGAAAAATCACTTCTAAAAGTTCTGAATTGAAAAATCATGAACAAAAATCAACTAGTACCCTGTAGATCGTTTGTCCCGAGCATCCTGTATTCTCTGATTTAGCGGAAAAACATTATTAAAAATCATTACAAATAACTGAGCTATAGGAGGGGTAGGGGGCATTTTTTGATTAATCACCCTGTACACGCGAAATTGGTAGCGGTTCTCAATTCCTTGGAAATTAACATGATTTGTGTTTTTGATTGAGAAATTGGCCTTGACAAAAAAAACTGACGAATGTTCACCACATTGATTGGTAATAAATTTTCCCACGAACATAAATCGATTGTTCCGAGTTCAGGGCAAACTTGGAAGGCATGTGTTTCATTAATGAGAAAACTTGGGAAAGTTTTCCGCTTTCCAGGTAACGATAATTGAGAAATCCTCGAAGAAAAGTGTGTTTTCAAACGGTCTCAAGATTCACTTTGCGACTCCTTCTCATAATGATTTTCCCCTCAATCCTAATTAAATTTAGTCTTGTTTGAAAAATGCATCTTTTCATTGGCAATAAAAACCTATGTTGAATTAGGATTTTAGGTCAATAGATCAATACATACAGGGTATTCTAATTGCCATAAAATCCTTTGATCTCTGTATGAGCAGGTGAAAAAAAAACGTTTTTAATTCGTCAATCTGAGAGCATATCTCCGTCATCTATCAAGATATCGCTTCCATTCTGATTTTGCGGCCCATTGGAATTGGAAATTGGAATTAAATGGTCACACTTTCGATTTTATTCGTCTATACGAATTATTGCATAGATTTCGGGGCATATAGTCAGGAAAGTAGTTGTTTTTCTCTCGTTATCTACCATTTTTATGAACTATTGTGGTAATGACTTCGAGTTTCTCTCTTGGTAAATATGTTTTTGTCAAAACATGACGTTTATCAAGCTGATGGTTCATTCCAAATTGCAACCATTTATCTCTAAAACTGAAGGAGAAAAAAGAGCTGTACCATCATACTGTTACACCCGGTATACTCACCAGATTTTTCTTCTTTTGGCAAGGATAATGCAGTACCGACTCTCTGATCAGAACTCTCGCGAACGCTGTTTGCTTTCTCCGGTTTACCAGTGTCTTCACAGTCGCTGCCCGAAGGGCTGATCAAAGACACCATGGTCTCGACATCGTAGAAGCCCACCGGAGATACCCGACAAGAATCCTTATTCTTTCCTTTGATACCATCAGGGTCAGGTTCTTTGGCTTTGGCATGGTCACTCCGGTTGTTGCTCAATAGCTTGTGCCTGGATTGGAACTTGGATTTTCTTTGGTCTGAGGTTTTGCAAGGGGCTGAAGTCGATCGGATAAGGGTCCTTTGTTGTTTCGGCAATTCTTTGACGGTCGCATTGAAGACGGAGTTGAGGCGTTTTTGAAAGTGCTGTCTTTTACTAGCTGCACTTACAGGTCTCGTTGTAGTCATTGTACGCTGAAAATAAAATATTGTAAAATTCTAGTTTGTAAAGGTGGGTATTGTTTGTCAAGTATTGAAGTTGAAATTTACAATCAATGTTGTCTCATGTCTCACAACTGAAAGCTGTAATTTTATTTTTTAATGAATATACTCATCTGTTGCATACATGCACTATTATTATTACAATATTGGATCTACCATCTTGATTTCCTAATTTTGACGAAGGAATCATAATTTTTGATCCCGAAAGCGCCCACTTATAAATTTTGAATAGGATCGGTATATAAATACAAAACTGGTCCCCGATATATTGGATATTTCCACCGTCCTGAAGAATTTCCAAATCCCACCCTTTGCAAATTTTGACACAAGAATCATAATCTCCGACCCCAAAAACACCCAGATAACAATTTTGAAGAGAATCGGATCATAATTACAATACTCGTCCGCCATATTGGGTCCGCCATCTTGAATTTCCCAATGGTACCTGGATAAAATGTTTCCAATAACCTTCTCCTGGTTCTAAGCTACCACCCCACCAATTTTCAGCCAAATCGATCCAGTAGTTTCGGAGCCTATTCAATACATACAAACAAACAAACAAACAAACAAACAAACAAACAAACAAACAAACAAACAAACAAACAAACAAACAAACAAACAAACAAACAAACAAACAAACAAACAAACAAACAAACAATCAAATCTTTCGTCTTTATAATATTAGTATAGATATCTATCTCATGATTCAAGATTCAGAATTCTGATCACCCTGTATCTGTTCCAATTAAATGTCAATAGATGATGAATTAAAAGTTGAGATAGGGACATGTAAGCCGTTTCGACCGATAGTGAATAATTTCAACCCAAAAAAATCCTTAAGTTGGCAAATCTTCAACACCCTATATCTCTGTAATCATTTTCGCTAGACCCCAAGTGTGATACATTGATGAAATCAGCTCTTCAGAAGGAATATAATGATGCAATAATATGCAGGGTATTCCATCAAAAAAATAGCAACTTTGATATAGCCACTTCCACATTGACTTTGTTAGTACTAACTGATGATGACCATTTGAATGGTCGAAATATGTTCAATTAGAAGTAATAAAGCAGAATTGACTGCACACTTCACCAGTGAACTTGTGGAGACGACTTTGAGTTTTTTTCTCTCTTTGATTATCCCCCACCACTTCGAGTATGGACTACTTCAGGAGAATCTACCATGCAATTGGTATCGAATAGCATAATTCTCAACTCGTTATCAAATCACAAAATTAAGTGCAAATTACCGCACAGGAAATTGCTATTTTTCGATCATTTCGCTCAGGATAGTGATTGGTACCGGTGCCGTGCGATAAAATAAAATGTATTTACATGCCCTTGGACTAAAACTACAAAAGCGTGTTTTTTAGTTTCTGTCAATTTTTTGTAACTTCCGCACCGCAGTAAAAGTGAAAATTTGCACGTATGTTGCCTTCCTTCGATGTTATAACCGTTTGCTCACTTTCCGGAAACTTTTTTTCATACGAGTACTTGGTGCAAGACACTGCCGTCTCTCTGGATGTGAAAAGTTATTCGAAGAAATGTAACCGAACGGTTGAAATTTTAGTGAAGGGGCATTTGAAATTAAGGTGAAGGGGCAATTGAAATTTTGATGATGGAACATTTGCGATTTTGGTGAAGGAATATTTGCAATTATGGTGAAGGGGCAGGTGAAATTCTGGTGAAGGAACATTTGAAATTCTGGTGAAAGAATATTTGAAATTTTGCTGAAGGAGCATTTGAAATGTTGGTAGCGATACATCATTCACCATTTCAATCGAAAAATAAATTGCTCATCCAAATCTGCCGAAATCGAAAACAAATCAGGTATGCGTCCCAACCCAAATAACCAACCGTCGTCCAGTACATCCTTTTCAGTTCCTAGGAGCTAAAGTTCAACTTCAGCTCCTAGGAACTAAAATTTTGGTATTAAAATGCTGATAAAAGCGTGTCATGGTAATAATGAAAATTCATGAAATTACGTTTACATTCAGTGTAGGTTTCTTGACCGAGTTGGCGTTGTCAATAGGATCTGGATCAGCTCGTGGATCAGATGTGTCGCTCTGCTCGGTTATGTCCTCGACATCATGGGCCAAGAATATCTTCAAGTTACGTTTGTTCACATCTTCCTCTTTCGCTGTACCGGTCTCTTCTTTCTTATTCCTCGAGAATATACCGTCGTTTTTTTGCACTGATGTTTTCAGAGTGACGCTTTTCTGCGTGCTCTTCAAAACCGGATCGAACCTCTGCCATTGTTTGAGGCCAGCGTCCACCGAAAGTTGTTTCTTCAGCTGCTGGTTTTTCTCCGAGAAATCACATTGGACGCTCAGCTGGCGGAAAGCTGCGAAGCTTTTCGCGGTCATGTTGAGGTTATAGCCCAGGGTCGATAATTTTTGAAATCGAAAAAGATTATAGTAGAATGAAACCCATTGGAAAAGGAAGAGAATATAACGAAGATGGAGGGAGAAATAATTTACGTGCGATCTGAGGTCGGAAGGTGGAGGGGGGGGGGAGTTTTTATAGGTGAAAAACGGATTATCTCGATTTACGGCAGAACTTCAAGTCCTATACAGTGTGTCCCACTTACCATGCTCACCATGGGTATCTTTTGAACGGTGAGAGATACGAGGTCGGTTAAATGACACCAAGTGTGGAGTTTGTCAAGGCCAACTATAATGTGAAAAAATATTTTGATAAAATCTATTCGTTTTTGTTTCATACGCAAAAAAAAGATTTTGATCATTTTCATGTCTCCTCCGTAACTTCTTTATTTATGAAAATATTCAAATAGAAATTTCACATTCTCATGCCAGTTTTTCAAAGTGATTTCGAAAAATATATGAAATTCATACCAACACTTCTAGAATTTGAGATATCAGCACCAACTTTAGTTTTTCAAATGTAGGTCATAGCTTACTATGACTTAGTTACACTTAACTTTTTTTTCTCTTACAGATGATATGTCGCAGTAATAGTTTTGTTTTGATAACAACGCAGTTATCGTCATTTTATACAAAAACAAAAAATTATTTGGAAGCCGCCATCTTGAATTTATAAATTTTAACAAGAAAATCATGATCTCCGACCTCAAAAACCCCCACTTACCAATTTTGAATGGAATCGGACCAAATCTTGTCCGCCATCTTGGAGCAGCCATTTTTGTTAATTTCAACAAAAATTCCATAACTCCGATCAACTTGAAATCTGGCAGGTGTTCATAATTTCGGTGACAATACATTATGGAATTTTTGTTGAAATTAAAAAAAGTGGCTGCTCCAAGATGGCGGACAACATTTGGTCCGATTCCATTCAAAATTGGTAATTATGGATTGTTGAAGTCGGAGATCATGATTTTTTTGTTAAAATTTAACAATTCAAGATGGCGGCTTCCAAATAATTTTTTGTTTTTGTATAAATGACGATAACTCCGTTGTTATCAACACAAAACTATTACTGCGACATATCATCTGTGAGAGAAAAAAATGTCATTTGTAACTAAGTCATAGTGAGCTATGACCTACATTTGAAAAACTAAAGTTGGTGCTGATATCTCAAATTCTAGAAGAGTTGGTATGAATTTCATATTTTTTCCGAAATCACTTTGAAAAACTGCCATGAGAATGTTAAATTCCTTCTCGAATATTTTCATAAATAAAGAAGTTACGGAGGAGACATGAAAATGATCAAATTTTGTTTTTTGCGTATGAAACAAAAACGAATAGATTTTATCAAAATATTTTTTCACATTATAGTTGGCCTTGACAAACTCCACATTTGGTGTCATTTAACCGACCTCGTTTCTCTCACCGTTCCAAAGATACCCATGGTGAGCATGGTAAGTGGGACACACTGTATATGGAAAAGTTGTATAGGTAATAAGAAGCTCAATAACCTCCAGACTTTTTCACATAACCTCAAAATCAATGTGAAAAATTCAAATAACTAAGGTTGTGGTCTTTCATTTTTCTCTTACAAAAATTTTTGTTCATCACGAAATTTTGTGGAAACCCACTATGATTTTTTTATTTGAAATATTCATTTTTCCACCTCATTTCGACTTAATATCGAGTAAACACCCTAGTTTTCAATCGAAAATTGTAGCGTCAAAATATCTGCATTTTCAAAAAAGTTGGTGGGCTTTTTGTTTGTTGAAATCTCTACTTTCTGATGGTGTAAATAGTTATTTATACACTAAGGTAATAAAGAATATCATTATTACTCAGTATGAAGATGAAAGTTATTCATCTTGCCATTACCTTCAACTTTGTTTTTCAATTTTTTTCCATAGGACTTTTTACCCTTAAAATCTCCCCTTCCACTTCTCGATTTCAGATTGTCAGTTGGCTATTTTTTTCTACAAGCGTGCGTGATTCACCCTATACCGGCACGCAATTTAGTTCGGGAAGTGTCATTTACCCACAGTAGTGCGGGAAAAGTTTTCCCACACTAGTGCGGGAAAGCAGTTATATAATATTCTCGCAAAATATGAATGGTGGGTGACACAATATGAAAATTTTAGGTTTTTTTGTTGCAGTATTAGTAAGTTTGAACAAAATCATCCATCAAATTGCACTATTTATTGTGAAAATTGAGAAATATTGAAAAATAATTGATTGTTATATGTATAAATCTCCCTATAGCCTTTAATTGATCTGATGTGGGAAACAATGGGCGTGTACACCTTAGTAGAACTTTTAATTCGAACCATTTTTGGACATAAATAATAGTACCTCCTGAAAACGGATCCTCTTATGACGTAGAAACCTCATCTCGCCATAGTTAAAAGAAAATACCAAACGCCCGACGGAGACTGAGGCAACTGATATATTAATTCTTTCAACTGTGATCTCGCGCTAATTCACTCTGTCAGAAATCATGTATCATTCATCTCTGTCTGGAATAGTCTTGTTTCAGTATTAGGGTTTTGACGTCACATCATCGCCTCGTTTTCAGAGGTCCGAAAAATCGGGGATTTCAATAATTTTTTGAAAAACGTAGGGAGCTCACAGCAAGAAACGGTTTGCGGTGGTGAGCTAGTTTGGGTGAGTTCTATCGAATTATGAAATCAATTTTTTTTGTGATATAAGCCCATTGTTGTCATGTCAATCCAAACATAAATTAGCTTGTGATTCTCAGAGTGACAGACAGAGCGTTACTGTCATTTTCGATTCAGTGGAATTGAGATGAAAAACTTCCAGCTACAGATGCGATACAGATGAATTATTGCCAACAAAGACAGGTATGAGAAGCACTACACGGGATTTATTGAATGGTGCAATAGTAAAAAAAGTGAAAACACCGAATGAAGAAGAAGTATTTTTGGCTCATTTCCTAGAAATGTCTGAAACCTAGAGGCCAAACACCATGGAGCATGCTGGCTTCCTCAATAAGCTTACCTACATAATGCTTCAAACGTTACACACAATAGATATATCACTAATTGAACAAATCAATCAATTTCCTACGCTTGTAGAAGAAATATTGTTTCTAACTCATGCGGGAAAGTATCACTTTCCGCTCATGTTAGAAAAATTTCTATTTCCTTCCATTTTTATCACATTCTCTTCCTTTTCCCATGGGACTCATCCTACTATAATTGTTTTTCACATTTTACCATTTTCTCAGAGGCTTCAGCACTGGTCTATTAGGTGCGAATTGTAACAGCAGAGTTCATTGTTCGCGTTGTCGGAGGGTACAGCTTAGGACGGCTCGTTGTTTACTGGGTGACGGGAAAACTTTGACTAGTTGTTCGTCTGGAACTGGAAAGTGTTTTGCATACTTTCATCCACTATCGATCGGAAGTTCGGGCCGATATAACGAATGATTTATTCGCATGTACGAATCGAATGTGGGTATGCCATGATTTCCATGATTTGAAAGGTACCGATAAGGATCGATATGCATTTTATGATCGTCGTCGTAATGAAATAAACTAAGGTTATCGAGATTGGTATCTTTGACGGGGCTTCGTTTTTCCTTGCCAGACAATAGATCGGCCTGTTTAGTTGCCATGGTTTCTTTTCACGAATTTATGTATTTGGTATTTTTATGTCGCCGAATCGTGTATCCCGGTGATCTGCCACGATGGAAACAACTTTGACAAGTCATTGAGCAAGGCCGAGTGAATATATGCTTCTACAAGGTGTGCATGCTATATGCTCGATCATCACCATCTCTAAAGCTCTACTTCATAAAAACTAGATTTCTTATTCAGTGCGAGATTGTTATTTTGTATCAAGTGCGCGCAATTTTATTTTGAGATCTGATTTTTTTTTCAACGAGACGCAGCCGAGCTAAAATAAATAGCAGTTTAAAAAAAAGAACAAACACCCTTTTTATAGATAGCCTGACTAAAAAGAAGTAGAAAATAAAATATCAAAAGTGTGTTGATATAAACACACAACATATAAGATGAATGTTCTGATCATTTTATACAGGGTGTTCCTTAAAGACATGCTTAATTATATTCAAAAGGGGGTGATTCTTCAACGCATTTCAAGAAAAAAACTTCCCACCAACGTATATATGTCCTAAAAGTCTCAACTTATGAGATACAGTGTGATGGTTTTGAAAAAAAAATCAGTTTTTCAATAATAACTACAAAATCATGTTTCTGAGTATTTTTATATTTTTTGCAAGTACCAAATTTTAACGACAGAATCATAATCTACTACCCCCACAATCCCTAGATACTATTTTTTATAGAATCGAATCATAATTACAAAACTCTTTCGCCATATGAATTTTAAAATTTTGACGAAAGAATCAATCTCTGATCCATAGAAAACCCGTAGATATAAATTTTGAATAGATTTGAATTTTAATTACAAAACTCGTCCAACATATTGGATTCGCCATCTTGAATTCTTGAATTTACCAATTTTCAAGAAAATGATTGATATATATATCAATCCACGAACCTTGTCATTTTTTGACGATTGTAGAAAAAGCTAGTTCATCTACACCTCAATAGCTAGAATTATGTTTTCTAAAGTTGAAAAAAATATGCTATCGACGAACCTAATCAAACGGAACTCGATGAATGTAGATATATACAGGATCCCTGGAAAGGTTTGAAACGGTGGAATATTTTTAAAATTCTTGTCAAAAAACCTAATAATTGTATGATCTTATGACATGGCAATTTTATAGAAAATGATAATATAATATCGTCATTGTTGTCACATTTTTCCTTCTTTCCCAGAAGTCCATCAACTTTCGTTATTTCATAATCAGTTTTTCAGTTCTTTCTACTCACCTCATAAAAAATTCATCAATATTTTCACAATCTGTTGGTTAATCAGATTAGAATTAGCTCATGCTATTGATACTTTAGAACAGTGTATTATAGGAGAAGAGAAAC